ATTCTCTTTAATGTGGCCAGCACAACACTGTAGGAGACTGAAAAACCTGGAAACAGACACAGATGCAGCTTCTGCAGTCAGTGAACGCAGGAAGCATGTCTCAAAGAGGAAAAGAGCACAATCAAGACTCTCACAAGGGGCCGGGGAGATAGCTCAGTAGAGTAAGCACTTGCCTGACAAATGCGAGGGCCTGAGTTCAATCCCCAGTTCTGAAAAAAAAAAAAAAAAAAAAAGACTCCCACAAATGTCACCATCATTTAACTGTTTTGGAAGCACTGGCCTACACCGTTATCCCACAGAAAGAAACAGGAAGTAGGAGACTGAGGCAGGAAGTTCTCCATGACTTCAAGGCCAACCTGGACCGCACAGTGAGACCCTCCCTCAAAAGCAAGAAAGCAGGGCCAGCCAAATAGCTCAGCAGATTAAAGCGCCTGCAAACAGGTGCAGGGGCTCAGTTGCGGGGGGGGGGGGTTCAATCCCAGGGCCTGCTGTGCTACCCCAGCCCCCAGAGCATGCTAAGAGACTGGGCGTGGTAGCACCGGCCTGTAATCCCAACGCTTGGGAGGCTGTAAACAGGCGGATCACTATGAGTCTGATCTAGTAGTGAGACCCTGAACACCTTGTAGACCCTTCCCTAAAATACAAAAACAACAACAACGACAACAAAAACCACTGAAGTGTTGTCAACCCACATACAAATTGAGCCCCACGCATGTGTGCTGCGCTGTCCCTCGCCTTGCCTTGTCTCAGCTTCCTGACCACAGTGGAGACCTCCCACAGCTCAGACCTCCAGCCTCAGGAGGCTTAGGGACCACATTGCAGAGCTGATAAATTTTGCAGCTGGGCTTTCCCATGTTATCTTTTAGCCAAGCGGTTGTGACATGCTCCAATAATTCCGGGACTCCTGGAGCCAGGGGTAGTAGGATCTTAAGTTGGAGAGCTGCTTGGGCACCATGGAGATTTAATGAGACCCTACCTCTAAATAAAAAATAGAAAGGGGCTGGAGATGTGGCTAAGTGCGAACGCCCTGGGTTCAACCCAAAATACTGAAAAGAAACCATGATGGGCGAGCTGGAGCATTTTCTCTTCCACATGTCCATAGGACAGGCCTGCCAGTGCCCATGACATCCTTGCTGCACCAGTGTAGCTCTTGGTGCCAGCCTATAGAGCCATCTCAGCCATCTCTGTTGCTTTTTTTGAAGCAGGGTCTTGCTACGTAGCTCAGGCTGACCTTGAATTCACAGTGATCCTCCTGCCTCGGCCTTCTTAGTTGCTGGTATCACATCAGTGCACTGCCAGGCCTGGCTCCTTCATTGTTCTTTGGGCCCCTTCTCTAGATATCTGCACGGAGAAGAGCTCAGGCTCCAGAAAGGCTTTCTGAGGCCAGCTGCCTGGTCCTCTCCGTCTCTCTGCCCAGGTCTTTCTGGCCCTTCTGGAGCGAGGCTGCTGCCCAAGGTCGCTGTGGCTGTTTTCTCTGGTGGGGTTGAGCTGCAGCCAGAGGGCCCAGAGGAGCCACCTGCTTGCCTCCTTCAGAGCCCTCAGGATGACGCAGCTACGTGGCCATCACGTAAAGCTGCCCTGAGAGTCCTCATCCTGCAGGCCTGGGCCAGGCGGCAGGGCCTCCACCCTCCTGGGTTTCCCCTGCCTGGCACTGACTTATAGGACTTCCATCTTGGGGCACAGATCCGCCTCTTGGGCCACTTTCTGGCAAAATGGAGATGGTGTGGCCGTGTGGTGGGGACAGATGTCGCTGCAGGACCCTTCGCCTTGGGGCAGCTCCATTTCAATAGGCGCAAGCTGCCTTTCATGCCAAAGGGTGCAAGCATTTTAAATGAGTAATTAATGAATTTTGACCTCCAGAAAAGGCAAGAATATTATCTTCATTTTATAAATAGATCACAAGTCACACAATCAGCAGTAGATGTGGAAAACAGATGTAGTAATTCTGTCCCTGTCCCCCTCTGGAATCCCTGACAGACCTGAATTCTGCTCTCTGACTCCAGCCAAACACATGGAATTGGCCTTTGTGTGTTTCCACTTACAGGTCTGAATTCTATGTTGGTTCATACGCCTTTGATATGTCTGAAATTTATAAAAGAAAGGGAGAAGAATGCCATTTGATGCTTTTTCAGAGATGCATCAGAACTGAGCTTTATATTGTGGGTCAAATGCCAATAAAAGGGTGGGGGGAAAGAGAGAAACTCGGTCATCAGATCTTCAGGAGGTTCACTTTTATTCTTTCTCTGAAAGGGCTTTCTGTTAAAATTAAGCACAATGCATCTTTAGGGACCAAAATAATTATTGTGAGGACAGTGAAAGTCCCCATTTATTGAAAGCCAACCGTGCGCTAAGTCGCTATTCCGCTGCCACATCTATTTTGTCACAGGCCTCTCACACACAGCTTGCAAGGTTTTTCTTGATTATTTTATAGATAATCAAACTAACGTTGGAGACAAGATGCTTTGAAGAGAGCAAGGGGTTGAGAGAAAGAGAAATCATGAAGAATATTAATCAATTGGAAGTTATTGGATGTATATTCTAGATATTTTGTTAGCTGGGTGTGATGGTGCAAACCTGGAATTGCAGCAATCAGGAGGCAGAAGCAGGAGGATCTCTGAGAGATCAAGTCTAGCTTAAACTACACAGCAAGACCCTTTCTGAAAATAATGGCACACCCTCAATGACATTTTGTGGTGATAGATGTTAGAGATACAAAGATAAATAAAATACCTCCGAGTCGAGTTAACCACGTAGTGAGGAGCTGAGAGTGAGAGGACAAGGTAAACATTAAAACAAAATAATGTCAATTATCACTGGATTTGAGTCTAGAAGTATTTATGGAGTTCGTTCTGTGTGTTAAACACTGCACTCATTGCTAGGAAAGGTCCTTTTCATGGTGCTTATAATCTAGTAGAAAGTCAGACATTAATCTAATAATCACACCACTTTAAAATTGCAGTTAAATGGAATAGCAGACACCAGATGGGCCACAGCCCGACCAAGGATTAGTATCCAGAATATATAAAGAACTCCTACACATGACAAGAGGTAATCCAATAGGAGCACTGTCAAATAAACCAACAGGCAACGTGCAAAAGAGGGAAGGAGAATGGCCAATAAACGAAGAAAGGCTGCTCTGTCTCTCTCACTTGTAAACAGGGAATTGCGAATTAAAACACTGAAATGCCATTTCACACCCATCAGCTTGGCAACAGTTTTGAAGTTTAACATTACCAAGGCGGAACACGGGAACTCTCACACATGCTATGGAACTGTGAATTAGTTCAACCACTTTGAAAAACTGTTTAGCCGTGCAGAGCACAGGGGCCAGTATGTCTGTAACCCACGACACACCACACTCAAGCATCTACCCAGAAGGCTCACTCTCACACAACTCAATGATTAAAAAAAAGTAATTGTAGCATTTTTTCTTTTTCTTTTTTTTTTTTTTTTTTCGGAACTGGGGATTGAACTCAGGCCCTTGTGCTTGCCAGGGAAGCGCTTATTCTATTGAGCCATCTCCTCAGCCCTTTGTAGAGACCCCAACCAACAGTGAAAATGTATGACCTAGAACTATATGTATCCATGTAGATACATCCAGAAATCATACTGCCCAGTGAAAAAAAGTTGCACGAGTATATATTTAGCATGATGTCATTTCTTACAGGTTAAAAAAAAAAAAAAAAAAAGTCACGCCAAACAATTCTATAAAGTGCTTCCGGCCACAGAGCTATGTGGTAAAAACAAAAAGTATAGAGGCGAGCCATGAACCCCAAAGACTTCTAAGTGTGTACTCCAGGAGATAGTGTGGGTTCAGAGGATTCCGTCTAGAGATGGCACGGGTTTTGTCCTGTTCTAAAGACTTGAATTTAAAAGGGTAAACGTTAATTGGTGACAAAGAGGGACGGGGAGAGCACACCCAACAAACGAGGCTTCTGTTCTCCGTCGTTCTGCATGCTTTCATTTTTCATATCGGCACTTTGAGCTCTCAAAGGAGGATCTGAGTGAGTTAGCGGTGGGGTGGGGTGAGTGGCTCTGAGAAATGAGGAGGAAACGCTGCTGACTTAGGATGAGAGTGGAAAACTGAGTAGCGGAGGAGGGGAGGAAAGTAGTTCCCAGTGAGGAAGCCGCGGGTACCACGATCTAGGGTGGAAGAGTGATCGGTGGCAGAGACCCCTCCAGATCCGAGAAGAAGGGGCTAGAGGAGAGCGCGGGGCCCAAGCCACAGGTCTTCCTGAAGGTCACCTCCCTCCCTAGAGCTTAACAAAATCAGCAGGAGGCCCCGAACCACTTCCCCCCGGCCACTCGCAGAAGGGGTGATGCAAAGCTCGGGTTCTGGAGGATGAGGAGGCGGAAGCCGTTTGGGAGTGCAAAAGAGGTGCAGATTCCCTAGAGAGCGCCCAGGGGCGACAAAGACATGAAGCCCTCGGGTAGCGCGACCCCCACCAGCGAAGTGGCTCGTGAAGGTGTCAGAAAATGGCAGAGCGTCCGGGAGGCCAGGGAGGGCGGGGGTCGTCGCCGCAGCCCACCCGACTCGGGCTCCGGGAAGCGGCCCGGCGGGGCGGGGTCTGCTGGAGACGGGCGGGAAGCGGGCGGTATCGCCTGCTCCGAGAGGGATGGGCGCGGGGACCCCGGGCCGCGGCGGGGTGGGCGCGCTGGGTTGCAGCATGGAGCCGCGAGCGGGGCGCCTCCTGTGGGCGGCTGCTGCTCCGGCAGCAGAGGAGGGGCCCCGAAGGAGGGCAGCGAGGAACTGGACTGGACGCAGAGGGCCGAGAAAGGGCCCCGGAGTGCAGGGATCCCGCGGTCCCAGCAGGACGCCGCAGCCGCGCTGGCACCGCGCGCGCCCCCAGCAGGAGACGCGGAACACCCGATTTGGGCGAGCCCTGCCCGCAGCCCCTCGGCTACTCGGCACGCTCTCGGGCCGTCCCCCCGCGCCCCGGGCCCTGGGCCTGGCGACGTCACTGTGGCGATGACGCGCGCTCGGGGTGGGCGGGCGGAGGCGGTGGGGCGCGAGCTTCCTCGGGGAGGTCCCGGTCCCTGCCGCCCGCCTCCCGCCGCCGGCCGCCCGCCGCGTCCTTGGCCCGCCTCCAGGGGAACCTCGATTTTCCGAATTCCGGAAGGCTGGCCGTCCTTCGGCAACTGATAAGGACAGGAGCGCACGGTAACCGATCCTAACAATACCCGGAAAGAAATACCGGGCCGAGAAAGAACTAATAATAGCCGCCGGCTCGAGCTCTGCTCGCGTGCTCAGCGCTCTTAGGAACAATAATGACAACAACCACAATAGCCACCATTTATTGAGGGCTATGTCTGTGCCAGGCACGGTGCTGAGCGCTTTGCAGGCGACAACCCTGGGAGGTAAGTACCGTTATATTCCCTATTTTGCAGGCACTAGGGCAGAGAGGTTAGGTCACTCGCCCCAGGGCACACAGCTAGCTGACGTCCGTGCCACAGTTCCAACCCACGTAATTCTCATGACCACCCGGTAAGGTCGGGATCATTTTTCCCATCTTAAAGATGAGGAAACTAAGGCACATGGAAATGTAAGTACCTTGCCCAAGGTCACCTAGCTGGAAAATGGACGAGGCAGAAAGCGAACCCAGGGCTCCTCTCTGTCCGCAGAACCCGCGGTCTTGGCCATAAATGATGCCACATCCAAACCACCTCCGACAGCCCACAGGGCTTTGGCCCCAGGTCCCAAGAGGCGCAGCCCCTGCAGGGTGTGAGTGGGTTCCTGCGGCCTCCGATCCCCTGGTGAGTCGGCTTATTCTGCGCATCGTTCCTGCTCCGCCGGCAGGCGTAGGCTAGGGAATCCAGTCTCGGACTGGGCCGCGAGGTACGGGACTGGGATGGGGCGGGGCGGGGGCGGTGAGAGGGATTCGGAGCCCGCGTGCGGAGCGCTGGGGCTTTGCCCCCATGCGGCCGGCAGAGGGCACTGCCGCACACGCCTCGCGTCCGGGTCACCAGCGCCGGACAGGGCTGACCTCCGCCTCCAGTTGCCTCCAGTGGCCGGGATTCTGAGCCCTGGAGCGGGAAGCTTCCCCTCCTGAGGGCCGGCAGCCTTGGCCCCTCACCTCTGTCCTGGACCTGATTCGTCTGACTGCTGTCCCTCATCTTCTGTCCTCTTGCCACCCCACCATCTGCCTTGCAGATGTCCCCAGGCCCTGCACAACAGGCCCGGTCCCTCCTGAGGACACTGATCCCATTCCGTGAAAAGACTCCGGGGTCTGCAAATCCGAGTCACGGTGTCTCCCTCTTCTGGTGGGCCCTTTGGTGACTTAAAATGGGGATCCATCATCCATTTGGAATGGTGAACTTTCAATCCTTTTCTAGAATAACAGACGGGCGGAGGGGATTGGCTGCGGAAGCGGCAGATGAAAGGATCTATTTTCATAATAGCTACCGCCTATTGCGGGCTTTCTAGCTTGGAACCCTTTATATGCCTTGACTGACGGTCTGCTCGGGTCTGCAGAGGCGTGAATCATTATTCCCGCATCGTGGATGAGATCGGGAAGCTGGTAAGTGGCCAAGCTGGGGACCCACGCGGTTCCCGTCTCCCGGAACATACAAGCTGAGCCCAGGATCAGGAGAGGTCGGATACAGCTCCCGGGTCTACGGAAGTGCTTCAAATACTGCATCGTATTAATTAGGGGCTTGACTGGCTTTCTAAGCTCACTTTAGGACTCACATACTAAAAAAAGAAAAAAAGGAAGAAAAAAAGAAAAAGAAAAACAACACCTAAGGGTACACTAGGAATGCACAGGATTTAGCTTGGAAAAGTATTCCTCTGGAGAAGCCCACACACTTTCTATGTCTGGGCTCTGAGGAAATAAAGGTGGCTCTAGGAAAATCTGAAAAATATGGCAGGGAAAAAAATGCCTTCTGTGGTTTTTACTTTCACCAAGACACATTTTGCTATTTGTGTTTTATTTTAAAATTAATGTGACTCTCTCCACCCTTTCAACTGGCACATAAATAGCAAAAACAGAAGGGAAGCCAGCTACAGGCTTCAAATGTGGTGCGTTCTCAGGAGGGAGGATCACCACCGGAAGTGGGAAGGAGGGCGCTGTCGGGTGCCTTAAACACTTCAGAATAGACTTGCCACTGAGAGAGCTTAGCCCCTGAGTCCTTAGAATAGGCATTGCCTGGCACTGGGCAGTGTGGAGTGTCTAGATTCCGGGAGTGACTGCACTTTGGTGTGCAAGCGCAATCACACTTGGAGGGTGTGTGCACCCTCTCACTGGGTCACCACTGTGTAGAGAAGGTACAAGTGTGGTGGGAGTGGGCACGGGGCCTGTCATCTAAATCAGTGACGGTAAGGCAGCCACTGCAGGTGGCAATGGTTAAGGCTTGGTTAAGCACATTGGCTGCATGGCTCTGGAGTCACCACCTGGTGGCTTTTCCAGACAGAACCCCAGGCAAAAAGTACCTCTGGAGACTTAACAGTTCTGGCTCGATTCCTCTGCCTTTATTGTTTTGATTTTGTTTTTATGGCAGGGTCTGGCTGTATAGCTCAGGCTGGCCTGAACTCACTGGGCAGCCCAGGCTGGTCTCAGAGTTGTGGTGATCGTTCTGCCTCAGCCTGCTGAGTGCTGGGATGACAGGCGTGGACTGCCCCACCCGGCTATGCTGTGTCTTTAAACCCAAAGAATGCCCATCTTCACTCAATGGAAGGGAAATCGGGCTATCCCAGGCTGTCCTGCAAAAATTTTGGACTTCTTTGTCCCTCCTGGAACCGTGTCTCATTCCTCAGCACATTCATGCCACAAATATGTACTGAGAGCACGCCGCATAGGTAGGTGCTGCGGGTGCCACAGAGACCCTGAGTTCCTGCCATCACCCTCTCTCTTTCTACCTTGCTCCTGACTTGCAGGCTCCAACTTTCATGCCTAGCCCTTTGCAGCTGGGGACACCTGCTCAGACACATGTGGCATCTGGCCCACTCTGGGCCCCAGGCCTCCACCTTGGGGATACCAGTTTTCAAGAAGAGGACTCGGGCCCTCAGAATGGGACTCAGGTCATTTCGGGCTCCAACACTTGCCAGCAGCCCTTCTGTCCCTTCCCACTCGCCACTGCTTCAGGCTCCTGAGAGTGCTGCTAATGATGACTGAATAAGTAAGGCCGTATTTATGAAGTATCTATTCCAATGAAAATCCCACAGCGATATAATATTCACTGTTCACAGGAAAATGCTGGCTTAAGCAATCAGCAGTGACTGGTTAATGCTTAGCAGGCTTTTGGGGCTTGGGACTGAGTGATGCAGAATAGCAAGGGAAAAGAAGAATACTGGACTTGTTTTAGCTCTCCAGATTATACCAGATTTTCGCCATCAGCATCATAAAAAATAATGCTTAAGGTAAATTGCCAGTTTTTGTCTTTCTGGAAAATCCATTAATACTGAATGATCTTGGTCTTGACCCACTCTAAAAAAAAATAAAAATAAAAGAGACTTGAACAGCAGGATTCAGATCCCCCCCCCCTTGAAAATCCCTTTAGAAAGTAGATTTCAACCAGGCATGGTGCTGCAAGCCTGGAATCTTGGCACTTTGGTGGCTGAGGCAGGAGGATCCTCAAGAACTCCAGGCCAGCCTGGGTTACATAGCAAGACTCTCAAAAAACAAAACAAAACAAAACAAAACACACACACACACACACACACACAAAAACAAAACAAGTAGATTCCAAATCAGTACCCCCCACCCCACCCCAGTACTGGGGAGCCAACCTAGGGCTTTCCTAAGCCCTCAGTATCCTCCTTAATTCCCTTAGTGAATTAAGGGAATTCAGGTGAATTAATTCCCTTAGTTCACCTGAAGTGGCTAAGTTGCCTATGCTAGGTTTCGACTCTGGGATCCTCCTGCCTCAGCCTCTGAGTGTGGATTACAAAGCTACACCACCACACCAGGTTTCCCTTATGGTTCTTAAACATCCCACTCTAAGACTACCCAGTCTCTCCTAGATAGGGCACTCTTTTCTCTCCCTGTGAGGAAAGCAGTGCCCCAGGGAGGGAAGGATGAGGGAGAGTAGGCAGCGGCCTGCCTGCTGAGCCATTAGAAATTAGGGAACGCATTCCATGTGTGTCGCCTGTGCAGGAGTCTGTGGCTCTGCATTCTCTGGCCCACGTACCAAATCCCTCTCCCATGGGGGCCTGAGATGCGCCATAAACATGACCTACTGGGAAGGGCGTGTCCACCCACCAAGAATTCGGGGCAGCCAGCAGGGCTCCTAGCTCAGACTCTGCAGAGCCCAGCTGCTAGGGTAGGCTGGGAAGCCAGCAAACCTTCCTGCTGGGAGCATGCCAAGCCCTTTGGGGAACCGACTTCGGTGCTTGTCTGGGGAAATTAGTTTTGCACTTTCACAGAGTGCGAAATTCCTCAGGGGCATTCTAGTACTCGGGAAGAGAAATCAAACCCAGCTCATTCCTTCAGGGTCTTTGCCATGAATAAAGCGGACCGAATCCGGTCGAGTGGGCCCAGCCTGGGGCCGGGCGTGGGTGGGGGCACCTGTGGCCAAGGCCCCCCCCAAAAGCGGGCGCAAACTTGAGATTGCAAGGGATCGTGTTACTGGCTTGTAAACACCGTGAGTGGCAGCCAGCACTCCCAAGTGACCACAGAGGAGCTCAAACCCTTCCTATCTTTCTAGAAACCCTGAGGCTCCGCCGGCTGCCTGCTGTCTGATGCAACAGTTTGCAACGCGGTTCTGGGAGTGGAGCCCTGCCGTGGGGCGCCCGGGGCCTGCACCACGCGCATGCGCGGGCTGCGGCCCGCCTCGCCGGGCGGGGGAAGCTTTTCTCCAGATGTGCTGGGGGCAGGGCGCCGCGGCGGGGGCGGGGCCGGGAGGGCGGGGAGACCTCTGGCAGCTCTCGCCCGCGATCTGAGCTTAATTAAACTTCTCCCGCGGCATTGGCTGACTTATTGACCCAGTGATCCAAAAAAAAAAAAAAAAAAAAAACAACTGAGAGGCCCGAATCGCCGGGAAAGCGAAATCGAGGGCTTAGGTTTGGTTTCAAGAGCTGGGCCTCCTCCCTTTCAGAGCCTCCCAATCTCAGATCCTGTCGAGGTTCCAAATCTCGTTAGCGCACGCAGGCCCCGCCTGCCCTAGAACGTTTTATTTGCAGGCGAGAACGTGCAATCACAGAATTTTTTTTTCCCTAACATTTGCAGCCATTCAGGTATTGCCTTCATGATTTTTCTTATACCCACTTTGTACCTACGTTAGAGACTTTAATTGAATTTTGTTTTATTTTATTAACTTTTTCTCTAAATTAACTTTACATCAATTCCCTTTTTAATGTATCTTGGCCCTAAGCAATAGCATTAGCAAAAACACGGCCTGAAAATAAATTCAGAACAATTCAAATAAAAAATGCATATGTGCTAACTAAAATTGCCTTGCCTACCGCATTTGGAGAGAAAACTCCTGAGGTAATAACAGCCAAAGTATCGAGTGACTGTCAATGTTCCACATACTTTTTTTTTTTTTCATTACTGGGAAATGAATCAAGAGTTTCACACTGAGCTACATTCCGCCCACTTCACCCCCTTTTAAATTTTCAAACAGAACATCCCTAGTTGAGCCTCAAACATTCCATACTCCTGCCTCAGCCTTCTTGTAGGAATTACGGATGTGCACCATTGTGTCTGGACCCAGGCACTGTTTTGGGCACCTAGGTGGTGGGAGTTACTCACATTTTAAAGAGAAATAAGGAACAGAGAGGTTAAGCCACTTAGCTAAGATTACAGAGCCAGGAGGCAAAGTCTACTAGCCTGACTCCTACACTGCCACCGTGTGCTAGGAGGACCCAGTGACAGGAGACTCCAAATCCTACCGTGCTTTGAAGGCCAACCTCCTGATGAAGGGCTCCTGAAAACTGGGAAGCAGGAGGGCCCGCCATAAGTTATGTGAGAGTCACATGAGTCAGGGCCCCCACACCAGGTGCACCAGTACCAACTAAAAGAACTTTGATCTCTCTATATAGAATGGGCCAATAACCATTCTCTGGCCCACTCAGTCAGTATTACTCTCCCTATCTAGAAGACAGGCTGAGGGTGCTTCTTTTCTTGTGAGGCGGGTAGCCTTGACTCCCTCCTCTAGCACATTCTGCTGGCTTGTAGTCCTTATCTGGGGTGTGTCCATAACTCCACTCAACTGTAATGACCTGCTTCCTACTAGCCAGAAGCCCCTGGAACTAAGATCCAGTTGAATCTTGAGCAAGCAATGTGCGGCAGGCCCGAAGTCTCCTGCACAGCTGCAGAGCGATGGGGACACTGCCTACATGGCCGAGGGACCCTCTGACCTCCCTGGGGCCGACTCCAGAACGAAACTTTTTACTAATACATGCACCTCTTTCTTACCTCTTTTCCCAAATTTTACATATTCAGTCTTGCTTTTGTAATCTCTGTCTGCCTCCTTTGGAACCCTAAAGATATTTCCAAATAAGTTTCTCCTCATCCCGACATCTCCCTCACTTGTGAGGGACAAGGTTTTCCATTTTTGGAGTTTCATTTTCTTCCCTGAACTAAAATAACCCACAAGTCTCTAGTGTCTGTGAGAATCCTTATACCCCCACCCCCACCCCTGCAGTGGGGTATTGAACTCAGGAGCACAATACCATCGAGCTACATTCCCAGCCCTTTGTCTTTTGAAATAGGGCTTCACTAAGTTGCCTGGTCTGGCTTCCAACTTGCAATCCCCCTCCCCTGTCCTCCTGAATAGCTGAGATTGCAAGCACCATCTCACCAGCTAGAGAATCACTTTTTTGTTTTTTAATATTTGAAAATCAGATTTTGTGAGTACATTTTTAGATATACATAATGATCACATTCATCATAGAGAATTTAGACCTGTATGTGATATAACTCCCCCCCACCCCATTCTCCTACCCCTTCCTTCAAGAGAACCACTATTTTAGGTTTACCATCTGCTCTTGTCCATTGACCAAGAAGCAGTTTGGAAATTCCGCCAATCTGTATTGAAACTACATTTCCCAGAATGCCATTCTCTACTGGAATGGGAACCAAAATCCTATGTCAGACCATGTGTCTCCTATTTTAGGGTTGGAAAATCTGGTCACTAGCTTGGATAAAGATTGGTATGCCCATAGACTAATTCTTCTGGCCCCAGGCAGACACGAATTTCCCAGGCCTCAAAGATTGGGGGAGGGTGGGTTATTACAAAACCTTCAATTAGCGGGACCCTTGAGGACTTGGCTTCGGCCTCCTAAAAGACTGATGACCCCTGCCCGGCAGGTCTATTTTCTCTCCACCACAGCCCTTCCCTCTCTTTACTTCCTTTTCTGTTCCTTTCCTCCAGCTTCTTCTCTTAATTATGCTACTGTGCCACTCCCATGTCCGCACCCCCACCCCCGCGCCCTTACCCACACTTTAACCGTTTCGTATAAAATCCAGCCCACCAGACTGAGGTTTTCTTCGACCCAAATGTTATTTTCAGAAGGAGCCATTGAGGTTGGGGAGTAATTGCAGCGTTGGGCCTCTGCAAGACAAGCTGAAAATAATCAGCGAGGCAGATGGGGTGGGAAGGGAGTGCGGTGCCTTCCCCTAAGGAGCCAGAGAAACCCAGCTCCGTGAGTCAGAGGAGGCCAGCGCCAGGCTGGGCCGCCCAGGCCCAGGCCCTAGAGTTCAGCTGAGGGGAAACCGCCAAGGTGCTGGGGCCTGCGACAGTGGCTCCTGGCTGCACATCACAAGTCCACTGCCTTGCGGCAGCCTCTAAGCTTGTCCTGCTCTTACTCACTTGGACCATAGCAGCCAGTAGGCCACTGTGGATCCTGACCAGGCCAGCTGGCTTGCCCATGTCTGCAGCAGGCTTTTCGGGTTCGGCCCCACTGACACGTTGGGCTAGGGAATCCTTTGCTGTAGGAAGTTGCCTTGTGAGTTGTGGGATATTTAACAGCATCCTTAGCCTCTCCCTTCTTGGAACCAGGAGCGCCACACATCTGCACACACTCACCCCATCGTGATAGTCCAACATGGCCTCAGATACATCAGATGGCAAATTGGCGCCTGGTTAAGACCCACTGGCCTAGAGTAATCTGGGCCTAGATCCCAGAAGTGTCGCACAACCTATCCCCATCATGGCCTCATTAGCTTCCATCACTCCCGAATGGGCTAGGATCTAACTGCCAACTCCTATTCCCAAGGGCAACCGTGGGATGCCTCAAGCCCAGCCTAAGTGCACACTGTGCTCCAGGCAATGGCCCTGTCCCTATCTGATGGCAAAATGGCGCCTGTGGTGAGTGAGTTTGTGTAGATGTGTGTGTGTGCTCCCACAACAGTCCACTGAGGGGTATGAAGAAGAAAGACATGGGTGCAAAGGAACACATATGAGGGTTTCTGACCCAGATGAGGACGTTACAGG